AGCCCCCCCAGTTTTTTGGGCAGTCGGGCAATATTCGCTGAACAGTCGGGCAATTCCGGTTAATTAAAAAAAAAAATGGGGCAAATTCTGTAAATTTTGTGGAAAATTTTGTGAAGTTCCCCAATTTTTGTAGGTTCGGGACAATTTTGGTTTGTCCGGAAAAAAATTTTGACCCCAAAAATGGTACACTGACCGTTTTGACCCAAAAATGGTACACTTAAAAAACATTTTTCGGTACTTGTCTGGCAAAATCCGGAAAAGTTGGGCAAATTTCTTGCCGCCCCCCTAAATTTTTCCTTCCGGTACGCCCATGGAAAAAGTTGGAAATAAAGAAAAAAATGCAGGAAAGATGAAAGAATCCGGCACGTGTATTACTGCAAAACAAATATGAAGTAGGAAATATGTTTAGGTCCAGAAATTTTTTGGAGAAAATATAAATAAAAAAAATATCAAGTAGGAAATATTTTAGGTCCGGAATTTTTCCGGAAAAACCTGATCTCAGGCTACTTGTACACGCGAGTACACGACAACACACGCAAACTATGAGCTGGTGAACCAACTGCTGGGGCAACAAAGCGCAGTTCAATCTGGATTTTAATAAAATATAAAACAACGGTAACTCCGAAAATAAACAATTTAATATTCTAGCTTTCGACTAAGATTTAGTCATCATCAGGAATCGAAAGCCAGAATATTAAAATGTTTATTTTCGGAGTTACCGGTGTATACTGTATACTCCGCGCTAGTAATTTAATTCCGGATTTCCGGCACTTATTTGACCACGGTTAATAGAATTCTATTAACCGTGATTTGACGGAAATGCAAGTGATCCTTTGCACGCTTGTGTTTACATTTTATGAATATACTTTCAGTCTTTCATCACAGTCATTTTGCAAACCGCAACATTTCTCAAGAAATAATGACTTTAATACAGTAAAACTTTGTTTAAAGGAAGAAATAGAGTTGTTTTCTTAATAGGATTCCGATAGATATGGGCCAATACAAATTAAGTCTTGGAAATGACTTATAAATATCGCAAGAGTCAGCCATTTTCTGGGACGCCAAGCGCCGAATATCACTGGCCAGCATGTCACTCGCTCTTTAAAAGTCTCAAACAATATTCTGGATTTATATTCTTGCAATTGTTATTCCTTTAATAATATGGAAACTATTTGGACAGGCTGGATCACCTAGAGAGATTTTACACAGGTGAATATAGCCTTTAATAAATCATTTGTATTTCTGCTTTCGAATTCCAGTCTAGTTCCACGTTTATTCACGAATAAGATTGTCTCAATTTGCCTTTCTCACGAAAGCCAAAATCCGGCATTTTTGGGGTACTGCTTGCCCTCGTCAAATATTCTGGACAATTCAAAAAATGTGAAAAGCCATTTCTAAAAGTTGTAACTGTAAATTTACCATTATACAGGGTGTCAAAAAAAACGCTATGGAATTTCAACAGGCTGTGTTAAACGTGGCTAAGGGGCCGTCGACAAATAGATTTCGTCCCGCATCGCGGACTTGGGCCGCGATGGGGGGGGGGAGGTAGATTAGAATCCGCGATTACAAAATATTTGGGACGAAAACTGACTTTAAAAATACGAAGATCATTACTACATTTTCTTTAATAAAGAAAATGTAGTACATTTTAAACAATACTCACAAAAAGTTTGGAGGCAAAATGTGGATACAGCTCAACAACAATACTTCGTTTTTATTTAATATTTATATTCTCGTTCTCTTTCCTGGAGATCTGGGCACTATAAACAACATGCATTATATATTTTATAAATAATATGGCTTTTGATTTTGGTCACGTGTTTTGATTTTCGTTTTTATATTTATTAATAATAGTATTTGAAATGTATCTATACTTTTTCTACTGTCTTTGTTTGTTCTGTTGTTCAGCCAAAGCCCAAATCTATTGTATTAAAGTCCAAGAAAAGGTAATATTAACAGCTGTTTTTATAGAAATATTAAACGGGAATAAACTCATTTTAAAAGGTTATTTATGAATAAAAACTTTGTTTACATATTCCCTGCCAAAATGGCATGTAGACGTATTGTCACAACACAACACAATTCAGCACAATGCAGGGATGTGAAGGCTATCAATAATTAAATGTCGGCGCATCCTGGCGGGCATTTTGGCCGGCAAATTGAAATAAATTTGAAAACAGAGTTTACACATCTATACTGATATACGTAATTTATGTGTGTATATTCATATGGTATATTAAAGGGGAAGTCAAGTCCGTTCTGCGCATCGGTTCTGCGCATAACAATAGAGGACCCTCTGAGGTAAACATTGCCCAAATTTTGAATGTTTCGAATTTTTCTGAACACAAACTCTATTTCATATTCATGTAGAAGCATAACGAACCAAAATGGTGTTAGATACTCAGACAGTACATCATATTTTAAAAAATACAGCAGTTCAAAATGTAAACAAACCGTTTGTTTACATTACGGACTTGACTTCCCCTTTAAAATATGTTGACAGTTGAAAGATGTACATATTAAAAACTCAAAAAGAACAAATAAACTAGTATATACAGTTTATAGTAGTCACATATAAGCTACAAACAACAATGCCATGCATCATCAACGTTGACAACGTATCTGTCTGGCCACATACTATTTACACAATAGATGTGGTACCATTTTTGACAAGTTTCAATACCACACTGTACCCAGTCATCAACATCAATGTCTTCTTTATTTTCATCTACATCTTCCTGATGACCTTTAGAAAAATAAAACATGAGAATGTACAATAGTTAACTGTACAGTTTATTAAACACTTTCATAATGATACTGAGAAAAGGCAAGGATATGGCTATAGAGACGTGCGAAAGTGCAACATATAAAAGAAGTTACTCGTACATAGGTTGCAAGCTTCCTCTTCTTGTTGATCATGATCTGCAGGATTTCTCTCTGGAACAGATGCATTTTCCAAGATCATGAGAGTTTCTTCCAGCCTTAGCTGTTTTGGCTCACTTGCTCCGGCCTTGGAAGAATTACCTATCTTTCTCTTTCTTTGCAAGTGACTTGTTTGTTGCTTGTGGGCAGCCAACTTGTTTTTTGACGGGAAAGCAAGACCACATCTCCTCGAGTTACCACCTGATTTAATTATGAAGTTGCATTGATGTTCCTTCTGCACTGGGCCAGAACCTTTTCCTATAAAGAGGCAACACTTTTTAGCTTATAGTATGTTACATTGTTCTAATTTAACTTTGTCTTTTGCAATTTTCGTTTTATTATATTATTTATTTGTTAATAAATATCTTTCATTCAAATTAACAAAGACAATAGTATTAAACTAGAGCATGTATGATGTTCACATCAAGGGCTAAACTGTGATTAGTGATAACAAGTATTAAATACCTTTCTTATCATGGTGAAGCACAGACATGTGTCTCTTCATTTCAGTCTCCGACATGAATAGGTATGATGGGCAGTAAGGACATACACTTAGAGAGATGGAGTTTGGCAGGTTTGTATCACCTGTTGGGAAAAATTTCTTCATTAAGACATGATTATTATAGAAAATAAATGTAGAGGTTCCAAATAATGAAAGACCTGCACTAAAACAACCATGTTAGAAGACAATTGTAATGAAGCTCGCACAAATCGTACCCACATAAACTAGCATGCATGTTCCGATAATCATAAAAAATATTTAAAACTAGAAGTTACTATCGCAAGGAAAGTGCTGCCTCATCCCTAATGGATCAAAGTCAGCATGTGCATTTGCTGAATAAGGGGCTGTTTAATATATGATCCTGCTTTGCCAGGACGAGATACAGGGTGATTTCGATGTATTGAAATAAGTCATGGTCTACAACATTTCAGTTCTGTTAACGAGCATTTGAACTTTCATTTAGCCTAGTGACTTATTTCAATTAATACAGGGATGGATTTACTGGGGGGGTGCACTCCCCCCACCCCCTAGCCATGGCCAGGGGGGAGTGCTATTTTTCATGATAAAGCAAAAAATTATTAGAGACAAAATGAGATTCAGTAATTTGAGTAATAACATGATGATAAGCGAACTGTGAACAACAATTACAATTCAAATACTGTAGTCAAGCAAGACTTTGCAGTAGTGGAACAAGTTGATAGATGGGTAAAATCACTGGAAACCAATTGCAACGTACGGAAAAAATTTTTTGCCTAAAAAGTTGTCGACGGGGGGGGGGTCATTTTTTTCCGGAAAAATTTTTTAAATAGGGGTCCCTAAAAAAATTTGCACCCCCCTACCAGATCATGCTGGATCCATCCCTGAATTAATACTCAAAATCATCCCACTTTCCATCATGTAAACAGCCCCTAAGACCTGTTCATGGCGTAGGAAAAATGCATTTTGAATACCAAACACCTTGCACAATGTTGAAGGTCAGCTAAATATTCTATTTCTACTTTGTTGGCATGGGTGATTTTATATGAATACCTTCAATGCTAATAACTTCTTGCTTTTGTATGTATAATTATAATACTGTCAGTGGTGAAGCTAGCCATAGCAACAGGTCATGCTATGCAAGTTTTTAATTATTTGCATTGCAGGTTTATTAACATAGCATGACCAGTTGTCATGGCTAGCTTGCCACTGAATGCTGTACAGTATCATATATATAAAAAATAATAATACTTGAATGAACCATTGGACATGTAGAATTAAATAACAATTTCATATATAGAAATAAGTCAATTTTTGTCCCAGTTATCATTTTTATGGCACCTTCAAGGCTATATGTTCACAGAACTGAATAATCTGCTGATGGGGAGACAACATTTATTTGTTGACATTCTTGTTTGATACGTATGTATTCGTCTGCTTCAGATGACACCTTTCATTTGTAATGACTAAGATTGTACTCAGTCAGAACTGCAAAGCTATATAATAGGAAAGAATTTGTGAGCATTATCGAAAAATATAGTGCACCCTGAAATGTACTGACACAGGCACACAACAAGGGTGAATATATGAATGTAGGCCGGTAAGATTATTTCATATTTATGTAAACAATGCCAATGGACATATCTCAGAGATATATTTTTACAGACCGCCATACCTTGTACAGACTGTACAAAAATGACATGTTATATTAATACATGTAGGCCATTAAACTGCAGTTATCAAATTAATATATGCAGACAGCAATCGCCAATCCACACTGTCGTCTGTCGCTGACTCGCTGGGTTATTAACTGCTTGGGTTCAATATGGCAGGTTGCTACGGGAAATATCTTTACATTATAAAGTATAAACAACATTCAGCGTTTGTTTTTAAAACGTTCTGAAAGCAAATTGCTATGTCTATGAACATCTAGAATGAACACTAAACTCATCGCCTTGGCACATCGCCACACAAACAAATATAAAACCAAAAGTACATCATTTTGATTCCTACATATATTAAAAAGACAATCTATTGTTTCAAATACCTCATATCGAACGCTAAACATCAGATCTAAATATAAATGCCTTCATGTAACATCACCAGAAAGAAATAAAGCTATCCTTACCTGAATTATTCAAAATATTGTCGATTTGTGAAAATCCAACATATATCATGCGAGCGCAATACAAAATAAATTTTGACCGCCCCCCTCGTTTAAAAAAACTTCCTGAAGCCTTAATTATTTCCCCGGAATTACGACATCTTTACAAACAGACAGACACAAATTCTCAAATCGAAATCTCGATCGACTATACATAACTCGGCCAAAGAGACTGGACACAAGTAAACACAGACACGCAATACTTCATGTTAAGAATAGTGTGCTGCCTTCGGCAGCAAT